GAAAGTGAGAAATGACCCCCCTCCCAGGAGGGATGGCCATGCTGCAGTTCCTTCTCCATTCTCCTCTTGAGATCTTGGGCACACATGCACGTGTACCTGGTGTGATTTTGAAGCCACCAAGTCTGAGATTTGAACCGCAGTGGGCCATATGGGAGTCCAGCAATGTAACTGCTATGCCATCTGCTGGCCCTGGTCATATCCTATTTTAAGTATAAGAAATTGTTTGTTCACAACTACTTGTAAGGAAAAGAACTGATTATGGTAAAAAGGGAAGGCACTGGAAGCCAAGAATCTGTAGTTCTGTTTTTTAATCTGTTTGGGTTGTCACCTCCATTATTTGAGGATGTCTGGAATCTACTCACCTCCTCATACTACCATTATTCCAATGGCTTAGTCCTCCAAGATAAGATTTATGTTGCCAATATAGGCCAAATGTTCTGTATATATGTAGTGGCAAAACCATCCTTTGCTTTTGTTTATTAATTTATCTTATTCAATAAAAGTTATTGAATGTCTTCTAAGTAGCAAGCACCAACCTACATGCTATAGAATACAAAGGCCATTATTTTTTACACAAGAAGTCAGTCACAATTTGGGGGAAGTCAATTTTAGTAATATTTAATGTTAGTTAATCTTGTATAATGGTCTCTTGACTATGTATGGAATTTCTAAACTGTCCAAAGTAAAAATAAAAAAGAAAAATTGTGAGATAAACCTCTGCAAACCCTAATTATATAAACAAAATTTAAATTTTGTTAGTTTTGTCTGAGTTGATGGGCTGAGTGTAATAAAAGCTCCTCTCTCACTTAAATTTTCATCAGAAATTTGCTTTGTAGATGCAGTAGAAATAGTATTTAAAAAAAAATAATTTTCAAGTCTGCCAGTGGCATGGTGGTTAAACTTTCTGGATCCCATAGGACTGATTATGCATTTCAAGTTCTAGACCTAGTGACTTAAAAACCATGCCAGGCTCATGTGTATATGTGTCTAAAATCCACAAAGGAGGGGGAAATGGAGAAGGAAGAATTGCAGCATGATTACCCCCCCATGAAGGGTGCTTTTTCACTTTCTCTCTTTCCTTCTCTGTCTTTTTCTGGTGAGCATGTACACCCTCTGCCAAGTTAAAAATAATAGTTTTTTAGTGTCACATACATGGAATGATATGCCCCCCTAACAAGCACACAAAATATCCAAACATTGAATGCCTATGTAGATAAGGAAAAATAACTTTCTCCTTTGTGATTTTTTTCATTGGAACTTTCTATAACAAAATACCAATTAACAAGAGAAAAACAAGAAAAAGTTTGTTGGCGTATATACCTCCTGAGTACATGAAAGAAAACTCAAAGAAATGAATAAGTCTCTATAGCAAATTTCAAACAGTTGTCATAGCCATTAGGTTTAAATACCATCATTCGATGAACAAAATGAAGTATGTGAGCAGAAGTCTGGTCAAGATCCAGGATAAGCACCATAAAACAAGGAACATTGTTCTCTGCTACACAGAGAGAGAAACACAAGTGGAGATTGCATATATACATGTGTATATATATATATATATTTCTTTTATAAAGTGTAACTTTTCAGAGCTCTGGTCTACAGTTCCTCAAAAATGACCAGTTCAAAGTATCCTTATACCAAAGAGGCATATTTTCGATGATGTAATCTGGTCTGATATATTCATATTTTGGGGCGGTATAGTATGCACCCCATTATCTATATTTGCCGTATACTGTGCTAAGTGATTCCATGAAAATTATCTTAGTTTTTCTCTTTCACAATAATCTTGGAAACTACTTATTATTATCTTTCTTAATTTATACTGAAATAACTGAAATTTTTAGTGCGTGGCTACTGTAAAATAGAGACTACATGCAAGCTACTCAGTCCTCAAAGGTGATTTTTTTATTTCTTGCAAAAATAAAGGAAAGTAAATAAATAAACCCTCTAAAGTGAGTTTTCCATTACACAACCTATTACAAACATGCTGGAAGACAATAAAAGCCCAAAGAACTTTCTTGGCAATAGTCAAATGATTGAAAGAGGAGAAAAATTCACTCTCTCTGAAGCATGATTCTATTTGGGTCAATATAATGAACAAGCTAGAAAATATTAGAATTCTTTTTTTTTTTGAGATAGATTGTTGCTAAAGGGCATGTGCACTCGTTGGGGAGACAGGGGGAGACAGAGAGACAGAAAGCAAGAAATCACTTTCCAGAGGGGATGGCTACACTGCAATTCCTTCTCCACCCTTCTCCTCTTGGAATCTTGGGCATGCATACATGCACCTGGGCTGAGTTTTAAGCCGGCAGGTCTGGGACTCGATCCACAGTCAACTACGGGGAGTTCAGTGACATAACCATTACTCCATCTGCTGGTCCCAATATTAGAATTCTTAAAGCAATCTTATATGTAACTGTAAAAGGTCAAATGTAGACTTTCATGCAAAGACTATAAATGTAATCCACAAAGCTCTGAGCTGGTATTACCATCAAGGAGATGTGAAGAACAGAAATTGATTTCTTCTCTTCCTTTTCATAATTAAGACGCACATTCATGACCAATGGAACAAGACTCCTACCTTGTGTATACCTAGTGCCCATCTCTCAGTTTCAAGAACATTACAGATTTCTAAAATTGCAGTTAGTTCTCATTCTGGAAGTTCAGGAGGGCTCTGCATCATTCACAATCCACAAAAGAGTTAACAGAGACAGCTTGGACTTACTTGGCATCTGCATAAAGGCTAAGTAGGAAGGGAATCAAGAGGGAAAAGGAAGAAGCAAAACACCTGAGAGACACAAAAATGGAAAATTACCTGTTGTTGATAATTTATATTATAATATCTCTTTAAAAGAATTATTTTATTTAACATTATTTATTTTAATTTGACCAGAGAGAGACAGAGTGAGTGAGAGAGAAAGAGAGAGAGGGAAAGTGAGAAAGCAAGCCACTAGGTTAGGGACTTGAATTATGGTCAGCCATGTGGGAGTCTAGCACCCTTAACCACCAGACCACCTGCCAGCCCCTGATAATATCTTTAAATGGACTAATATATAGCATATTCATGCTGGGGAAATTCATTTTGCAAACTGTAATGATATACAGTGATTGAATATACAAAAATAATAATAGAGTAATTAGAGCAGCTGTAAGCATGGTAATTAATAACTCTGAAGTCAGGCAGATGTGAGCCTGAATTCAGGCTCTTCAACACTGAGCAAGTTTTTAAACATGGTTGTGCTTGCCCTTCAATATCTTTAAGTGGGGTAAAAATAAAACATGCTTCATAAGGTTGTCACAAAGATTAAGTGCATTAACAAGTGTAAAGTGCTTGGCACATGTCTAGTTTATAATTTAAGTTCTAGGGATGAGTAATAATCATTAAATAATAAAAATAATTTGGTAATAAGCATCCACATTTCTAATTAAATGCCTCATTATAATCAGAATGATTATGTTCTCTTGCCTAAAGAAATTGCTCCCTCACTTCACCCTACTCTGTGAAAATCTGCCCAAGTTTTTTTTGTGCTGCCTGTCTGTCTAGCCCACGATGAGTCTATGCCTATGCTGAAGGCCTATAGCCTAATGAGTTTCGCTAGAGGTTGGTCATTTTGTAAAAACCAAGCTGAAAGCCATATTTTAGTTTATTTATTCATGCTTCATACATATTTATTTGGTATCCTCTATGTACCATTTACTCTTTTATTTGGCACTGCAATAATAGAAAAAGAACCTGTAGTATGGTATGAGGCATGAATATGTAAGCCACCATTATCCATTAATTTATGTTAAATAGGTGCCTATTCTGGGCTAAACAATATGTTGTTTAGCATTATGAGCACAAAAATGAATAAAACATTTCCCTCAAAAGATTTATAGGAGCAGTGGACAGGAAAACAGATCATTTAATGCCATGTGATATGTTTAGAGATAGAATTAAAGAAGATAATATGGAAGCAGAATTTGATAAGAGAGGATGCTGGCAAGGTAGGAAGAAGCATTCGTGGTATATAAAGGAGGCTGGCTTTATAGGAAGATGATAAATCACAGCTATTTACTAGCAAGAGAGCTAGGCCTAGGCTGTTTGAATTAAAATCTCCTCTCTTTTGGGCTGTCACTAGAAACATCATGACGCATTTTTGCATAGAAAAACATGGAAAAATACATCGTGGCTTTTCCGATAACCCAGTATTAACTCAGTATAAGTGAGGGACCTGTCTCTCTGAGGATAGGTTGATGCATCTGTTAAATATAAAATAAAAACAGCCTAACTCGTAGGCTTGGTGTGAAGATTTAGTGAGATGGTGTACATAGTTGGAACACAGTTTATATTCAGTAAGTATTTGTTGCTATTACTTTATAGGCAATGAGAGAATTCAAGAGGAGTTTAAGTAGAGAAATGATGTAGCCAAAACTGATCAAGATAGAGCTTTCTAAAAATTGTAAGGATAATAATTTGGAAGAACTCTAGATAAAACCATTGGTGGTGTCTAGCAGGAACAGGTGCCTGCGAAACAGGTATATGCTGGAGTTAGGGATTAGAAAAACATCAAACTCTAGCTATAGTGTGAATGGAGGCACCCCAGGGGGAATGTGCAGAGTAGACAGATCAGCTGTCTGAAGATGAAATTGCATGAGACAAAACAGTTACTGAGTAGTAACAGAGGAAGAAAAAAAGTCTACGGAGAAGGTAAAGTAGAATGGCCAGATATGTGTTTGGTAGTAGGCATAACCAGGAAATGTGTGGCAAGAGGAAGGATGAGGAATGACCAGGCTGCAGCAGAGGGCTATTTTGAAAGAACTTGTAGTATATTTGTGGATACGTTTCTGAATGATGCTAGACTTAAAGTCACCTCCATGGTGCCATAGATTTCCAGAATATAATGGGCCTCACCATATTCTTTTAGTCACAGTAAAATTAAATACCAATTTGATTAAGATGAGACCTATTTATGCTCTTAGAGAGAAATATAACCAATATTTTTACCTTCTTTTTAAAGGATTTTTCAGAAAAGAAGTCCACAGCAAAGGCCCTAGAGGATGTAAAAGCAAACTTCTACTGTGAATTATGTGACAAGCAGTATCACAAACACCAGGAGTTTGACAATCACATTAATTCTTACGATCATGCTCATAAGCAGGTAAGCCAAAGTGGGAACAAATCTTTCCTATTTTTAGATTTATATCTTCAGAACAGAACTGTATAAATTTTACCATATGTATTATCATCTAAGACTCTGTGGTGAGATCATTTTATGTTCTTTTCCCCCTTTGAAAGGTTGTGTTTTCTGTTTAAATGTTAGGTGAAGTCGTTTTTTCCTAGAAGTATCATAAAACTGAAGGTGAACCTAGAGATGATCTAAGAGTACACTGACATGTATTGTAGAATTATGTTGGAAAACAAGGACACAGTGGAAATAATGTTGCATTCAAAATCACCTAACTAGTTAGTGGAAGAACTAGAATTCTGGACTAATAGTAGGACAGAATGAATTATTATAATCTTTTTCTTTCAAGGATCACAAGGTAGAGGAACTAGAATTTTGAGGAAGTGATTCTCAATATAATGTAGCATTTTCCAAAAAAGTATTTTCTCAAGGGAGTCAAAGATTTTACTTAGTAAGCCACTGCAAACAAACAAGCAGAAATAAAAAAATTAAAAAAAAAAAACCCAAAACTAAAAGGCAAAGTCTAGAGCTAATGGCAAGTGGAAATATTTATTTTAGTTCTTTTTCTTAAAAGGGCATATGCATATCTGTATTATCAGTGAAGATATTCTACACTAGGCTGCCAATATTCTCTACTTCTACCTGTCTGTGAGACAGGAGTCTATTCTCATTTTGTTAGATTTTATCTTGACTAGTTGAGGTATTAACAGTTTAGGAGACTGAGAAGGAAATTTCATGTGGCTAGAGAAATACTGCTAACAGCTGTGAAAGTACACAGTTTTGATATCAAATGGACTTGGCATGTTGGAATCTGTGGGTAAGTCTTGTATACTCTGCATCTAAAATATTTATTCAGAGGGAATGCAAATAAATATTTTATCTAGCATCACTAATATTTATTGAGTGCATATTAAATATATGGCCTTGGGAAATGCAAAGCTTCTGAAAACAGAACTCTTTCCTGAATGAGGAGACATGCTTAGATGGTTGCCTTCATTTCATCGACAAGAGCAAGATCAGTGAGATAAATGATTTTAAGACCTTGGATCCCAAATCCTAATGTGCATAATAAATATTTTGAAACTTGTTAATATTGCAGATTTCTGGACTCCTTCTTAAATATTCTAACTTAACAATTCTGAGGTTGGGCCAAGGAACCTGAATTTTAAAATGATTAAAAAGGAACCTTTCAAACATATATAAAAGTGAACCATGTGGCTATCACCTATCATCAACCACAATCTTGTTTCATTTCCTCTTCATTCCACCTCCACCACTGCTGTTTTATTTCTGGTCAAATTCCACATATTGTATTATTTCATCTAAAGGCATTTGAAGATATTTAATGGTGTTTTAACAGCATAACCATGATCATACCTAGAACTTCATAGAAATTCCTAACCATCAGTTAGTGTGGCCTTGTTTCCTTAGTTGTCTCATTAATGATGTGTCAGTTTGGGTTTCTTGAAATTAGGATCTTAAAATATCTATACTTTTGATTGACATGTCTTTAATTTTTCTGAATTTCTTTATTTATTTTATGGATTGGCTAGAGAGAGACAGAGACAGAGAAATAGCATCCACAATAAGCTCTTGATGCCATGATCTGTTCCCAGCTTCAGCCAGGCCTGGATCATGAACACGTGTGTGCCCAGAACACTGAGGGAGGTCTCTGGATATTAAACGCAGAACTTTCCCACAGTATTAGCCTCCCCAAACATGGCACTTACCACCATGCCATCATCTGGCCCCTCAGTTTCTTTTTAATATGTTTTCATCTGTATGTTTTCCACCCCTTTTTACTTTTGCTTCTTGCAATTCATTTCCCACATTCAAGATGTGACAGAATTCTACCCACTGTTATCCTTTCACATTTCCCTTGGTCTTCTGTATTTCCTTTAAACTGGTTGTTATAGAAAGAGATCTGGTCAAATTCAGATTTTGAATTTGTCTTGGAAAGAATATATTAGAGGGGTTATTGTATCCTTCCATAATAAGAGGCATTACATGTTTGGTTGTCTCTTTTTCTGTAATCTTAAATTTGATCTGTGACTTCAGGTACAATTAGCTTGATCCATCATCATTAAATAATCAACCTTTTTTCACAAGTGTTTTTTTTGTTTTGTTCTGTTTTGTTTTTAACCATCAATGATTATTTGCTTAAATCTATTAGTCCATTTGTAGGTACAAAATGATTTTATTATCCCTTCTTCATTTTTTAGATGGAATGCATCTATAAAAAAGAAGCTTCTCATAAATATCACCCTCTAGTGATAGTAGGTGATATTTAGCCTACATATTAAGAAAAAATATTACTCTGGGGATTCTGAAAAATAAAAAACCAGGAATGGTCACATGGAATAGTGTCATTTGATCTGTGCTTTATATGTGCACAATTAGTATAATTAAGTATGGATTCTTAACAGTGGACGTAGAAGTTAGGGTGAGAAAATGGAAAAGCATGAAACATATTTTGAAATGTGTAGAAAGTATTGAATTACAGGAGCAAATCCTTCAGACCTTGCCTGCATGCCTCAACATCCCTGTACTCTGTAATTCTGCACAATTAATTTCCCTTTTTTTTCACTTTTCTCATTCTTATTTCCAGTGGCTTTATACCATGTTGATAAAACAACCTTTCCTCAATCCTTCTATTCCATATATATGCCCACTTTAGTTTTCTCCTTAGACTCCTGACATTCTGATTTTCCTGGTCATGCTCCTTCATCGAAAGATGCTTTTTCTGTGTGCTAGCGTGTTAGTGGTGGGAAATGGACAATTTTTTCCCTCCCTTCAGAAAGCTAAAATTCTAATTGATAAGACATACACGTCAATAGAAATTATAATCCATTAATTTAAGTGTCATAGAATTTATATACTTAGGACACTTTAGAGAGAGCACCTCAAAACAATTTCGGAAAAAGAAGACAAGTGAGCTGGATCTCTTCAAGAATAAATAGAAGTTAGCCATGAAATCTAGAATGGAATAGTATGGATCAACTGCATTGGCACAGGGATACCACAAGTTCCATGATGTTTAGGCCTTATGGGAAGGTCCTGGGTTCACTTCCTGAGGTCTCCCTGTGTCCACTGAGTGTGTGCATGTGCCTATGATCTGGAATGGCTAAGGCTAGTGGTGGATCACAGCATAAAGACTCTGTCAGGTATGCCTATCTCTCTCTAGAGAGACATTTTATTGCTATCTGTTCCTCTCTCTCTTTATCTCTCTCTCTCTTTCTATCTCCTCTTTTGTGGAAGAAATAAATAAACTTAAAAAAATGGAAGGAGAGATTACAATAGTTGGTCCTTTAATAGAGAAACCTATATAAAGGCAGGTGGGAGTTGTAAGCAAGATCTACAAGCAGCTGCAAATGATTCACCATGACTCCTAATATGTCTAGCTCTCATTCTTCACTTTACCTTCTCTTTTTCATCATTCACGTTAATATTACTTTTGAATCTTTTCTAGGGTCTTCTAACTAGACTCCCTACCTCCAATATTGTCCCTGCCCCAAGCCACCCTATCCACTTATAACTAGATTTATCTTCCTGAACGACTACGTTTATACTATAACTCCCCTCCTAGGAAACTTGCAGTGATTGATGATTGATTTAAAGTCTGAACTCTGGCCTGCCATTCAAAACCTGTAAAATCTGGCTCTTACATTCATTTCTAGATTTATCTCCTGCATCTCCGAAATTTTCCTACAGTTTCTCAAAAGATGCCTTATGCTTTCCCACCTGTTCATCTTGGCTCATAATCTTCCCTCTGCCTGGGATGCCCTTCCATCTTGTGACTGTATTTCAACACATACTTCTGCATATGCATAAATTGGCAATTTATATCTAGATATTAAGAGAACTGAGATCTTATGGTAAACAGATTTAACACAGCATTTTTCAAACTCTTTTTGTGTAAAATATATTATTATAAAAATGTTTGTGCATGCAGGCTACTTTGGGAAACACTGAAATAATGAAAATTATTGTAGACCTTGTTAGACGGTTTTATTGGATATGTTTAAATACTTCCATCTAAAAATTCATCTTGCCCAAAATATTTTGAACATTATTTTAACTTCAGATAAAGCTGAATTTAAAATTTCCTTTTTAAATAAAACTGAATTTTATGGATAGAAAAAGGAAGTATGTACTAAAATAAAACATGTAAAAATCTTTTTTTCCCCTAATTCCAAAGCTAAATATGCCCATTTTGTTCTTGCTTCATGAAGGGCTCTTCTTGATTATGATGATGATTATAATGATGGTGGTGAGAATTTGGCTGAAAGTATTTTTTGGCCTGAGAAACATGAACAACTACCATATTTTATTTTCCATGTGGTTTTAAGATTAACTAGACTCTTGTAAAACTTTCAACAATATGATCTTTTTGATAAACTTTGAGTAAACCTATATTCACGTGGGCTTTATTTTTATTATTCATCAATAGAAAAACTTAGAATTAGAAATGAAAATAAAAATATTTGAATTCTTCTCTCTGCTTTCCCTTTATTCATTTATAATTACTCAGGATCCTTCAGTTTAATAAGAGATTTTTAAAGCTGTTGTGCTGTCTCATACATTATTATCAGTATCATGTGTTTAATTTATTTTATTGCAAAGATTTTATTATTCATTTGTACTGTAATTCTAGATAAAGAAGTCAACATATAACTTTAAAGAATAAAATAAAAACAGTCTGTGATTTGTAGCTTTAAATGAACTCTAGTGGACGGTTAATAATTCTTTTCTGTAATTTAATTTAAAAAAGGGAGGCTTTTAATCTTTGAACATAATTTGTAGAGAAAGATAACTCATCAGTAACATAGCTGATTTTCTTTTTTGTATTTTTTCAATGAAGAAAAATAATGCATTTCTATCTTGGACAACCCCTTTGTATATATAGCGCTCATTTTAAAAAGTAACTCAATTGTTCTAGTTATTGCTTTGAATTTACAATTCTGTGTCAGTTT